CTCTTAGGATTTTTTTTTATCTCTTATTTATAAAAATCAGGTCCCTTTATATAGCAGAAGGAATTAAATTGTGGTCATCCATTGCAAGATGAAACCTCGGCTATCCAAAGACATCCTCTTATTCTTGGCCGCGCGATCTGCCACGCAGTTCACAAGTGGTGTGATTAGATTTGTCCAACATCTTTCGGATGTGGCCTGCTGTGTGTCTCACATCGATTGGTTATTTAGACACTTTAATTGAGGAGGTGCTAGAGACTTTGAAAATTATGATTTTGCCTCTAAATAAAAGATGTCTTTTCCATTTAATATTTTTTAATTTACAATTTTTTCCTTAATTTCTTAAATTATTCAGTATAACCCATATGCATTATTTTTTTCTTAACTTATACAATGTTTTAGACATATTTAAATTTTTTTATGACTTTATATATATGTTTTTTATTGTACTTAATTATGTATGTGTAATTTCACGTTGAATCAACAAGAAAATTTCTGCTACAATCTAAACTTGTTGGTTTAAGGAGACGAAATAAACACATGTTAGGTGACTTAACCTCTATAAATTCGAGTTTTCAATCTCTCAACCATTCTTCATTTACTTTTTATAATATTTATTACTTGTTCGCACTTCATTATTCTTTATGAAGCTCAAAAAATTATTAAACTTTTAGAAACTTTATTCACCACATTCTTCAGTTACCTTAGATATTTGGGCCAACAATATAGACAAAAGATAGCTAAAAAATAAGATAAAATTATCATTTGGATGAGTAATATATATAATAATGGGTTGAATAATTAGGTCTTGAACTTTTAATAAAAGGCCCAATTAGTTTTTACCAAATATGTTTTAGGGTTAAGAACATGGAAGCGAAAGCACTATAAGTATGTCATATCTCCCATTGCTAACACAATTAGGTTACAACAGAAAAACCTAGCCGCTAGAAGAAAACATACGATATTCGTCTGTATTAGAGAGAGCTCCCTCATACGCGTAAAACTGAAGGCAAGGTAAGTGTGTTTCATTACTAGATTGTTTTAAATCTAATATCCAAAGGTGTGATTACAGGTAGCCAGGAAAAAGGGCGTTACTTGTGAGAAAAGAAGAGGTAAATTTTTTTTATTCCAATCGTTAAAAATTTAAACCTCTTTATTTTAATCGAGAATCCTTATAAAGATTACTGAAACTTTTGGATTTTATTATGTCATAATATTTTTACCGGCTTTCTTCACAGATCTCGTGACTCTAAAGATAGTTTATTATTCCGATCACAAAGTAAACATGGTAAATGATTACTGTTACTCTTAAACTAGGGCTAATGATTTTATATATGTTGATTTTTTGCTTTACTTTTTTATTTGTATTTTTAAGCATGAGATTCAGATATCGTCATGTTTAGAGTTTACACTGAAAACTTTTTATCTTTATGTTTATATCAACATCCTCTTTAATGAAGAAGAATCATATAAATTATGCAATAATAATTATTTAGCCATATTTTGTCGATTTTATTCCTAATTATATGTATTTGAGAAAGGCCCTGACTAACTATTTGGTTATGAATCGGTTATAGAATCGATGGGCGACCTTGGTTACCATTTAATTTTTTTTATTCTCAACTTTTTCATTTCACTATACATCTTACACATTAATTATCATTTAATTCATTTACTTTTTTTTGAGGAATTTAATTTAATTTACTTTATTTTTTTAGAGTTTAAATTTTTGTATAGAAGATAAAATGATTGCAAATATCTAAACCTTATCTTCTTTTTCTTTATAAATGCTGGGATCATATAAAGGAAATGTTTTAAACAGAGAAAAATATTGTTTTAAATTATGTATTTTCTGGCTTATAAAATCTAATTTATTTGAGAAAAACTTAAAAAAAAAATTTAGTTTTGATATATACAAATTTCTTAAAATTTATTTTTCTGAATTTAGTTTTTTTTTTTCACTTTAAGATTTCGTATTTAGTTTAATTTTCTTTTATTTTTTTAAAAACTTTAGTTTATTCTGTCTTGTAAATTAATGAAAGATTAAATTAAGCAATTGCGCTTAATTTATTCTATATATACTATAAATTATATTATTTTCATAAAAAATTATGTAATGTTTGAAATAATCAACATATGATCTATGACTCAAGTATAAAATGTATATTTTTGCATTTTGTTTAAATATATTTTATTTTTGTTTACTTCTAAATTTTAATTTTTTGATATTTAAAATAAAATAACAATTTTTATATTTAATATAAAAATTTAACAGAATTATTTTATGTTCTTAGGAAACATGCCACTAATATCATTACTTTTATAATAAGGTATTTTTTTATTTCTATTTATTAAAAGAAAAATAAATAAATATATAATTTTAATTATGTATAAAAATAATTTAAAATGAAAATACTATTTTATATGAAGCTTTATTAATTGTATACAATATTTTATCTTGGTTATTCAATTCTTTTTATAAAATCTAATAACTAAGTGGTTATTTATAAAGTAGTAAAATTTTCATTAATAAATATAACTAACTAAAATTATTTTTTTAGTTTCTCTCCATTAAAATTACGTTTCTGTCCAAAATCCCATTCTAAAAAAGAAAAAGTTATTGAAAGCGCTCAGGGGTAATTCAGTCAATCAACAAAAATTCAAGGGGTCTCTGCTATCTTTCTCGGCCTCTGTTTTCCCTACTTAGAAACCGACCTTCACCATTGATTTTCTTTTTCCCTTTCATACCCTGAATTCTCAAAACCCTAACGAAGTTACTTCTCTGTCTTTCTGTTTCTTTAGTCTTCTTTTTTATTACGACTCTATTTAAATCTGATTAAACTCAGAATCTCGTCTTCAATTCAAGCCTATCCGAAATCAAACCCACCAATTGAGACGTATATACAAGCGCATCCAAATATGGGTGTATAGATATGGGCACAGGTATTCAAGTCTTATTTTGGTCTTGATTTGTTTTTCTTTTTGTTTGTAGTCAGGACGAGGAGGAATTGGTTGGGGTTTTGTATCTGGTTTGATCCGGTAGTCATGGCTAACGGTACGGATTCGGGGGAATTTCTGGTACTGTCACGGGTTAGAACGGGCTTGAAGAGGGAGTTTGAGTTTGCATTGAAGGTGCAGTCTGAGATCTGTGGCTCATTGGGACGAACGCGGTCAAGGAAAACCATGAACGGGATGTTGAATAATGCCGCAATTAGCAACCAGAGTGCCAAGAAAAATGGCAACAAGAAATTGAAGAGCTGTGACTTGAAGGAGGCCGGCACGAATAAGGATGTCGACAAAGATCAAGGCATGCGAAATTTGGGGGACCCTATGAAGATTGACGAAGCTGGAATTAATGAGGAAGAAGAAGAAGCCAAGAGTGATGTGTTGGACTTTGAGGAAGCAAAGGTTGATTCGCCTGAGTCAGTGAAAGAGGTGGGTGGTTATGATGAGGCTATAATGCACATTGGTGAGGAAGAGTCTGTTTTAATGGAACTGGGGAAATCCATGCGTGAAGAGGAGCAGGAGAAGACTAGACAAGAGGGAGGTGAAGGAGCCGAGAAGTCTTTATCAAATGGTCACGGTTTTAAGTTTGAAGCGGAGCAAAGGAAGGATAAAGATGAAAAGAATGACTACGGAAAAGCCGGAATGGACAAGGAAAAGCATGGAAGTGAACTCCAATTGAAAGAACCCGATAAGGCCTTGGTGGATGTTCGAGAAGAAAATAAAGAAGATTTGGTGGAAGATGTTTTGAAGAAGAAAGAAATAAGTTTACTCAATGTGGCGGATTCTAAGGGCTCTCCAGTTACCATTTTGCGATGTGTTAATAATGTTAAGGTGGGAACTGGGTTGGTTGAAAAGCCTTCAAGGAGGTTTACTCGGTCATTATTGAAACCGAAGGTGGAGATCAGTAAGAAATCTGCCCCGATAAGTGATTCCCATAAGACCAGTGTCAAAGGAATTGGTGATCGGGGTAATGGTAAAGGAACAGATTATGGGAGTTGTCCAACAGTTGCTACTCCTACAAAGCTGGGGATGAAAATTTCAACAAGGAGTTTCCCCACAAAGTTGAAAGATCTTCTTGATTCGGGTATACTAGAGGGAGTTGATGTGAAATACCTACGAGGTTCGAAGGTAAAAATTTATTTACATTTCACGTATGAAACTTTATGAGCATCGTCTTTTTTTTTTTTCGGGGTGGGGGTTTTCATGTGAATGGTTCATGGTTATATTTCAGGCAAGAGGAAGAGGTACTGCTACAGGCCTTAGAGGAGTAATTGTAGGCTCAGGAATATTGTGTTTTTGCAGTGCTTGCAATGGAAATGAAGTAAGTAATATGTCATTTAAATAGCATTATTCTTATGGAAACATAGGAATTTTGAAAACATCAATTATCATTTTGTGATGATAACTTTCCTAGATTTTTTTATCAAGTTTGATTACTTTTCAAAATCCTGTTGTTAGATTGTGAATCCAACAGTATATGAGTTGCATGCGGGTAGTTCCAATAAGCGTCCACCAGAGTATATTTTCCTGGAGAATGGGAACACTCTCCGTGATGTAATGAATGCATGCAAGGATGCTTCATTGGGAAAGCTGGAGGAAACACTTAGCAAAGCAGTTGGTCCATTCATGAAGAAATCAAGATTTTGTTTGAATTGCAGAGGTATCTGCTACATAATTCTTATAAATAATAGTGTTTTGTTAGGCTTTTTTCTATTAATGCTCTTGCAAACTATTAAACAGAATATCTATTTTCTCATCATAGGGTCTTTTCCTGAACTTGGAACTGGGAAAACAATGGTTCTATGTAACTCATGCATGGGTTTGAAGGACTCTAAACAGGACTTGCTACTAGAATCTAAACAAGACTCACAACAGGAGCTTAAACTTAGCTCTCCTATGACTACTGATGTTGTT